TAAAGCAGAGCAACATTAATTAGCTAGTTTTTGGAAAACTAATGGATGAAATGGAAGCAGAATACAACAATTATTGGGAGACCAAGAGATTCTATGAGGAGCTTGACAGGTTAGTATCACGCTGATACTAAACAATAAATCCACTGGATAGCTTGTGTTTCAAATAGTACTCAAAATGCACAAATTTTGTGTGTTTTTTCACAAATTAAGGGGGAAAACACTTAAAATAAACAAAACCCATATAAATTAATAACTGAACTATCTCCATCGGATTGAACTCAGTTGGGGAATTGATGAGGCCCTCAGTTACTATGACTCAAGCTCTCCTGACGGCACTGCGTCTTCTTCATCCCCTGCTGCCAAGAACATAGTAATGGAGAGGAATCGAAGGAGGAAGCTCAATGACAAGCTCTATGCACTTAGAAGTGTGGTCCCCAATATCACGAAGGTAACAAATCCTTGAACTTTCAAATAGAACTATTTGTTACGGCTTTAATGGGTTTTTTGGCTAATGGGTCAATGGATTGTTTAGATGGATAAAGCGTCTATCATTAAGGATGCTATCGACTATGTGCAAGAGCTTCAGGAGGAAGAGAGGAGGTTGATGACGGAGGTAACTGAACTGGAATCGGCCAAGAAGGAGAAATCAAATGTTAGTGACATCACGCAAGCTGATTATTTGGTCGTTGGTGAGAGGAGGAAGAAGAGGATCAGTAGGACTTCGCTTTTGGCTCCTGGATCTCCTGGCACACCTTGGCTCGAAGTAATGGAGGTAAAAGCTCCCCATCTCTTAAAGGTAGTAGTAAAAAATATTTCAGTAAATTGCGAATATTAACCCTCTTCGTCTGTGCCTTTAGTAGTACTCATCGTCCTCGAACACTAGCTTCTATTAGTACTTATCATCACTCAGTTATAATCAAATAACTATTTTGAGCAGTTGTGAGTTTTGGAATATCGGTCGAAATGTATGTAGCTTTAATAGACAAAATGGTCTAATGAGTGATGAGTTATACGTGTGTGTGTGTCTATATGTATATATGTATATATCCCAATCAAATTTGAAATTCAACTGTATTTTCTTTTCTGGGTGGAGTTGGATTTTAATTATGTATGCATAGCCTCAGCCAAATTATAGAACAGGAAAGTTATTTTATAAGTTAACGTAGGACATGTCTATTATAGCTGCAACATATGTAAAATTACACGTATCACGAATAAATTAATGAGAATTAGATCCAAACATAGGTCAATAGAAACTGAATATCTATCTGAATTATTTTCAAATTGTGGCACATTTATTTACACATTTTTATCTGCTCTGCAGCTTAGCGTATATCTGAATTATTTTCAAATTGTGGTAGATTTATTTACACATTTTTATCTGCTCTGCAGCTTAGCGTGTCTGAGGTGGGAGAGAGGACATTGGTAGTAAGCATCACTTGCAATAAGAAGAACGGCACACTGATCAAAATGTGTGATCTCTTTGAATCTCTAAACCTCAATACTATTAGTGCTAACATCACCTCTGTATCTGGAAGTCTCTTGCATACTCTCTTAGTTGAGGTACATAATTCTCTCACACAATATGTTTATTTCCCTTTTCCAAATATTACCTCTCTTAAGTATGTTGATTGTATGATATTTATTTTTCAGGCAGACAATGTGGACTGCATTCAACTAAAGGAGAAAATTGCAACTGCAATTGCAGGATACCATGACAAGCCCTAAGAGTTCTATTAGTTTTCAGTAAAGGAGGAAGTCCAACAACTTAATTCCTCTCGAAATTTAGCTTTGAACTTTTTTTTTCTTTTGTCTTTCTTCTCATTTGTATGTCATTTAGTTAGACATTTTCCCCGCTTTATTCTCCATTCTCGTACTATTACGGGGGCAAAATGGCAATGTGTTTGAGAAGAAAGATACTTGTTATGAAACTGGAATCTTTTTGTAAATTTTCAGAGGGTACAAGTTAGATGAACTGGTATGTGATGTTTTTTATGCAAATTTCCCTAATAGAATGCATATGTTCTCCAAATATACTAGAAATATTCTCTTCCCAATATACTAGAAATTAGATACGAAGCAAACGGAATGTATATATATAGGTCGGGGAATGTTACTTTTTAATATTTATTCTTCAAATCAAAATATATCGTTAATTTTCTTGAAAATGTTCTTTTTTAGCCCTAAATACTCTAGAAAGACAGGATTCTTTCTCAAGTTAATTGGATCAATAATCACTATATTTGTCTCATAATTGGACATTCATACATATATTTTAATTGCTGGATAACCAGTCATGTAAGTAGATACTAATTGGATCATTAGTCACTTCTAACACTTTCTATCAATTTGTGCTATATGTTTTTATTTATTTTCATGCAATACAACTTACTCAATATATAACAAGTTAATATTTTTAAAAATAAAATGTCAAATGTAATATAATTATTCAATACAATTGATTGCCGTGTCACAAATTTTATTTCTGTAAGAGCATCTCCAACAATGATCTTAGCTTTTCTCTATATTTGAGGAGCAAATATCTCATTCTAGGAAATAGGGAGCCAAATAAGGAGCAAGTGCTCCAACAATGCTCCCCAAATAGCTCCCTATATTATTGTATTTTCTATTATTGTACTATGCTATTGTATTTTTTGTCAATACTTTATGTAGATTTGTGTTTGCAATTAATGATATGTCCAAAAAATAACAAAAATGATAACATATTATTGTACTGTAGATATAGGGAGTGTCTCTTCTTGTCTTTGATTTGGAATACCAAATCAAGAACCCTATATTTGGAATACCATATAGGGAGCTTGTTGGAGCCAAATATTCACCTCATACTCCCTAAATTTGAGCTAGGACATGGGATAGGGAGCCTCTTGGAGTTGCTCTAAGTGATCATGGTATTGTGCATACGAATAAATCCATTTTGTCAAATGACGAATACTTTTTCATATCATGTTTGAGAATTTTTTTTCACGTTATCTAGCGTAAAATATTAGAAAATAATTAACAATTCAATTAGTATTAAATTACATGATCAATCATCCAAGCTGTTAAAGTTTGACTTAAATACTTGACATCGAATCAAAACTCAGCATTGGTGATTCTTTGTCTCAGGTTGACTTGGCCGAGAGCAGTTGCATTTTGGTGGGGATTCATTGGATTGTTGACAACATTCTAATTAAAAGTATATATATATATATATATATATATAGTGTGTGTGTGTATCTCTTGCAGCGGTAAGTTCATCAGTTTTTAGCACCACATCAACTGCAGTTAATTCACTACAGGATAGAGAACAAGAGGTTCTTTTTGTGAAGCTTATTAGTTACAATTAGCTCTCTTTTTTCCATTGTTTTAGAGAGATTGTATTAGGCTTTTGGGATGTGATTTTGGATTGAGTGATTGAGAGATTTCATTTTATATTCCTCACTATTTAGTAAAACTTTTCTCCTCTTTCGCCCATGGACGTAGGCTACAAGCCGAACCACGTATATCTTTGTGTTCATGTGTTCTCGATATTTTTCATGCTTTTATGTGATTGATATTAGTTTATCCTGGGGTTTGTCATAACAAATTGGTATCAAAGCCCTTAGCTATCAATCAGACGAGAAGATGACGGCAACCACTGTGAAGTGGGATATCAGGAAGTTTGAGGGAAACATCAATTTTAGCCTTTGGCAAGTTAGAATGATCGTCGTGTTGACATAGAGCGGATTGAAGAAGGCTTTGTTTGGAAAGTCAAAGAAACCGACTACTATGATGGAGGAAGATTAGAATGAGTTGGATGATAGAGCTCTCACAGCGATCCAGTTATGTTTAACAAATGAAGTTTTGCAAGAAGTTATCATGGAGAAGACAGCCGTTGATTTATGGTCTAAATTGGAAGACTTGTATTTGACTAAGTCGTTCACTAATCGCCTCCTCTTGAAGCAGCGTTTGTACACACTTCACATGTCGGAAGGTACACCCATCAAATCTCATATTGGTGAATTTAATTATGTGATTATAGATTTAAGTAAGATTGGTGTTAAGATCAATGATGAAGATCAAGCCCTATTGTTATTGTGTTCTTTGCCACCTTCATACAAGCACTTTAGAGATACAATGATTTATGGTCGAGATTCTATTGGCATCAAGAACATCAGAGAACTTACTGAATAAGGAGAAGATCGATAAAGAGTTAACCACAAGCGAAAGTAGCGATAAAGCTGATGGCTTGTTTGTTCGAGGAAGATCGGAAGTTGGAGGTAGCAGGTATAAGTCAAAGCACAGGAATTTGACTTGTAGATATTGCAAGAAGAAAGAGCACATCAAGACCGATTGTTACAAATTGGAGAACAAGAATAAACACGAAGAGTACGAAGAAAAATCAAAGGAGGACTTTGCTAAAGTTGATATTGCTGAAGATATGATTTTGTTAGCTATAGATGATAAAAAAAAGAGCATGGATGACTGAATTTTGGATTCGGGTTGTTCCTATCATATGTGTCCTAATCGGGAATGGTTCACCACTTATGAAGCTATTGATAGTGGAGTTGTTCTTATGGAGAATTACACCTCATGCAGGACTCTTGGGATAGGCACAATTCGGATTAGGATGCATGATCAAGATATCAGGACTTTGATTAATGTTAGGCATGTTACAGGCTTAAGGAAGAATCTCATCTATTTGGTCACTCTTGATCGTCTTGGGTGCAATTTTTCCAATGAAGGTGGGGTTCTTAGGGTTATAAAAGGTCCTTTTGTGATTATGAAAGGAAAGAAGATCAACAACTTGTGTATTTTACAAGTTTCTACCATTTCCGATTCGGCTGCAATTATATCGTCGATATTAGGAATTGATACTACCAGATTATGACATATTAGACTTGGTCATATGAGTGAGCGTGAATTGACTGAGTTGAGTAAGAAGAGTCTTTTATGTGGGCAGAGTACAGGAAATTAGGATTTTGCGAGCATTGCATCTTCAGGAAGCGGAAAAGAGTCAGGTTTAGTACGACAGTGCATCAGACTAAATATACTTTAAATTATATCCATTCAGATCTTAGGGGACCTTCTCAAGTTATCTCGATGGGCCTAGGTGGTAGTTCGAGATATTTGTTAACCTTCATTAATGACTACTCAAGGAAGCTTTGGGTCTACTTTTTGAGACATAAATATGAGGTGTTTGTGACTTTCAAGCAGTGAAATTTTTTGATTGAGAATCGGATTGAAAGGCTAATTAAGAGGCTTAGAACTGTAATGGTCTTAAGTTTTGTAGAGGAGAATTTAATGAGTTCTGTAAGAAGGAGGGAATTGTTAGACATTGTACAATCCCTCACACGCCAAAACAGAATAGAGTGGAAGAATGTATGAACAGAACCTTATTGGAGAAGCTCGTTGTATGATGTTTTTTTCAATGTAGGTTTAGGCCAGGAATATTAGGCAGAAACGGTGAATATGACTTGTTACTTAGTGAATCGGTTGCCATCTACTGTTATTAGTTGTAAAACTTCAGAGAAAGTTTGGTCTGATAATCCTGCAAATTATTCTAATCTTAGAATATTTGGTTGCCATGCATATGCGCATGTCAAGAAAAACTTGAGTCGTGAGCGAAGAAGTACATATTCCTAAGTTATGCATCAGGTGTTAAGGGTTTTAGATTGTGGTGTCCTAAGCTGAAATCTCCTAAGATTATTATTAGCCGTGATGTTACTTTTGATGAGCCTATCATGTTCCACCAAAAACAGTCACCAACTTCGGTGGATGATAAGGCACGCACTATAAGACATAAGATGGAGATAGAAATATACACTATTGGTAGAGATCGGTCTAGACGAGATATCCGACCACGGCGAAGATATGAAGATATTGTAGCTTGTACATTTTCAGTTGACGATTTTGTGACCTTCATCTATTCAGGAGTTACTTTAAGTGATGACTTCGCTAAGAGTTAAGGTCATTGTGCAAACAATTCAGTCGATTTATTGAGGAGGCCTCTTTCAGTTGGCAAGTTCAAGCCGGGCTTGGACTTGATCGATATGTGTCGCACTTAGTTGCCTTGCATGGTTATTGGAAAAGACGGAGTAAGTTAGCTTATTTTAGAGTGAGAGATTTCTACGCATTTGAGTCATGGTGGAGATTTGTTAAAGTTTGACTCAAATACTTGACATTGAATTAAAACTCAGCATTGGTGATTCTTTGTCTCGGTTGGACTTGGCCGAGAGCAGTTGCACTTTGGTGGGGATTCATTGGATTGATGATAATTCTAATTAGAAGTCCTAATATGATTTGTTTTCTTAGTATTCTATTAGATATAGAAAGGATAACATCAATTGGCATAGTTAATTGGACTTCTATTTCTTTAATAGGTCTTGCAGTAGTAAGATCATCAAATTTTGGCACCACATCAACTGTAGTTAATTCACTACAAGACAGAGAACAAGAGGTTCTCTTTGTGAAGCCTATTAGTTACAAATTAGCTCTCTTTTATTCCTTTGTTTTAGAGAGATTGTATTAGGCTTTTGGGGTGTGATTTAGGATTGAGTGATTAAGAGATTTTACTTTGTATTCCTCACAATTTAGTAAAGCTTTTCTCCTCCTTCGTCCGTGAATGTAGGTTACAAGCCCAACCACATAAATCTTTGTGTTCGTGTGTTCTCGATATTTTTTGTGCTTTTCTGTGATTGATATTATTTTATCCTGATAACATAAGTAATTAAATCATAGATATGAACATACAGTTATGAGATAAATACAGTAACATGTGATCCAATTAACCCCTATTTCTCGTACCATAATTTTTTTTTGTTGCAGAAAATATTCAATGTATTCTCTAATCATGAATTACTAGAATTTATAATAAATTTTAGTCAGAAATAAATCTCTCAA